TGAATATTTAAGATTACTTACAAATTGGTGTGCACTGATCAGCTCTCAGCACGGGAGTGACAAGAAATGGATTTAACTACGAGACCCAGTAGAGCTCGTATAAAATCTGATGTAATCCTGAGTGTGTTATTACACAACATAAGGAAAAAGAACTTATGAGTAGTTTGTGGCGCTGGCTGTCAGTAGGTTTCCCAGACGTGGACTAAGTCTAGTCCAAGACTAAAAGAAACGTTCAGTGAAGACGTCCACTTAAAAACAGTTTATGGTCTATAACTGTTAGTAAGTTGGATCCACGTCTGGCAACGTGAGCTGTTCAAGTATTTTTAGTAGCTCGCTGAACTGAAGTGAGAACGCTGGAAAATGTTCAGTGTTTTTCTGTAAAGGTGCTTTTTAGTTCAAAGTCAATGTGCTTAAAGTGAATTTTCTTTAGTGTGAATGAGCGTGTTTCATAAGGCGGGGGCTTAAGTGTAGGTGTTAAACAATACATAGACCAGAGAACACAGTGTTTATGGGCGCACGTGCTTTGAATAGGGCCCAGTCAAGTCGAGTCCTGGGTTCACACACACACACACACACACACACACACACACACAGCTACAGGTGATGTACTTCCGTTTGGACTGACTTTGATTAGGGCTCAGGGACACTAATGAACCCTGAGCTCTGAGCTTTAATGACCACTTAGCAGAGACGGCCTATTCAAAAGCCGCTTACAGTTATACGGGAGTAGTAAATTTCAAAGCCCGACGTGGGTCACATTACCAAGGTGTTTGAAACGATGTTAAAATGATATTTCCAATAATGGACTTTATGCTTCCAGTTCAGTCATGTTTATTTAGCAGAGACTAAAAGTCAAACTTTCCTGAGTTAATATGAAGGAATCAACGTTTGCAAGCTGTCACTTTTCCTTCACTTTCAGATATCAAGCCAGCCAACGTATTCATCACAGCTACTGGAGTAGTTAAGCTAGGAGACTTGGGACTGGGGCGATTCTTCAGCTCTAAAACAACTGCCGCTCACTCGCTGGGTAAGTTATAGCACTGTGTGCATATGTGGATACACCAACGACCCCCACCGCTCAGTAATCTCCCAGTGTTGGATGTGTTTCATTAGGCACGGGCAGCTCAGAGCCATGTGTCATGTAGTCATTCTGCCTGCGCCGTTCTGTGCCCGGCACCTCCGCCGGCCACTTAGCTGCTTCCTGTTACCTTGACCTTTAACCCTGACACAGATGAAAACCGAGGCTGGCGACACAGAGGTCCGATTGAGACCGCGCCGCTTTACAATCGCGGTTATTGTAGAGTTGATGGGTGTTTGTGTCACAGAGGAAATAAAACGGCGTTATTTTTGTTTCAGGAAGTGAGAACTGTCATGGAAGCCGCCGCAGTAATTAAGTCTTTGTCCATTTTAATTTTAAAATGTGACATATGATATAGCCACATGACTGTTGGGATGACCTGACGGCCAATAGTTTGGTTTTTAGCACAAAAAAGGTTCTTTGCATTCAAGTTATTAGTTTTCTGCACTGTTTGGTGTTTTTAGTCCGTCTCCTCTTTGTGTGTAATAGACTGAACAGATGTGTCACTATGTTAAATCTGGAACATGTCAACAGGAGTGAGGACAGCATTGTGCTGAGTGTGTTTAATAAAGTCTCTATATTAGTATAGACACAGACGCATGCTGGCAATCTTCCCCAAGTAAGAAAAAAATTCTCTTTTTTAGAATAATTATTGGTTAAAATTCGTAAAATTCCCCCCTTTTTTTTTTGTTGTGTTTAAACGCAGCATCTTAGCAACAGCACATACAAATAAGCGACGGCTGCTTATTTCACGCAAATGATTTTTGATATTTTATTGGGTGTTTTAGAAATATAGCCCAGAAACTGCACGTGTTCTTTGTTGTGCTCGTCTGTCCTTTTTCTGCACGTTCTGCATTAAAACGCTCGAGCGATGTGTTGCACTGCTTTAGTAAAATAGTCAAACGCCCAGAAAAATATAATAAAACGTGTTACTGATCATTGATGGGACTCGGTAACACCGGTTATAACTTGGCCTTTGTGCGGTACGTGAAGGTGCTATCCAGTATCCCCCGGGCAATTTCAGATACTTCATAGATTGGAAAAAGTAGGAAAAAAAGAAGAATTCCTTGGACAAATATAAGCACTGCCGTTCACACCGTCTCACTTCCCTATGTCAGACTGTTATTACCACAAACAGCGTGCTATTCTCAGCCTCGTGCAGCAGCGGCTCAGCCTTTGAGAAAGTGTGAATCACATGATCAAGTCAACAGAAGCCCTATCAGCTAAGCATCCTGCCGCGCCTGCAGAGCGGGGTGAAAGCGCCTGTGATTGCTCATTAAACGCTGAGTCCACAGCGCCCTCTTTAGGCCGACAGAGGACAAGCAGAGGGGTCAACTTGAATACCCCCATTAATCTGATGCTGTCAACATATTTCTTTAGATTAAGTATGCAAATAATATTTTTATAATGTTTTTTTGTTAATTCTGTAGTATTATTAATTAAAGTTCATACAAAGTGCAGTAAACAACAAAACTAAATTAAATCAAACCTTGGCATAAATATATTTAGTTCCATCTCTCCAGGGCTGTCTCATGGTCTTCCATGAATTTGAATAAGCTTGTGAAGGATACATGTGAGATGTTTGAAACATTAATTGCACACATGCAGATATTTATGTATGATGTCGTTCTATAGAGGCGTGTAGCGTCTGTAGGTTAGTGAGACATGTCCACATTAGGGACTCGGAGCGTGTCGTGCTTTCGCCCTCTTTCCCTTTGACACTTCCGAATCCCTGCAGATCTCCTCTCTGACTATATCTTTTCTCCATCCCTCCCTCTGGTGCTTTGACTTTAGTCAGATAAGGATGAAGGTGTAGGTGAAGGAGAGAGATGGAGAAGGTGCGAGGATACTAGAATCTGAGAGTAGAAGGGAAGCAATACTGAGAGAGTGAAGTGAGAAAGAGAGGAGAAAGCAAAATGTCACAAAAGGAAAGAAGCATAAGAAATGAAGAAAGGGTGACAAAGAAACAGAAAAAGAAGTGTACAGTGTCCCAGGTGTTAGAGAAGAGTGTGACAGAGTGACAGAAGAAGAGGAGAAAAGGGAAAGAAAAGTTAGTAGGAGCAGAGTAAGAGCAGAATGTGACAAAAGTGACAGGAAAAACGGAGGAGAAGAAGGAACGCGAGAGAGAAGGATGGAAAGAAAAACTGTGAGGAAGAGGTGTGTGTGTCTGTGTGTGTGCGATCGCGTGGGTATGTAATGAGCCCAGCCACACAGCTGAACAGTAGAGCAGGGCGGTGGAGCTGAGATGGAGGTCCAGGCATACAGCCTGTCAGCTCCCAGGCTTTCAAGTCAGCTGCAGACCCCCTACACACACACACACACACACACACACACACTCGCACACACACACTCGCACACACACAGACATTTTCTCTTTACACTCTTGCCCACGCTGAGAGAGACAGTCTTTTTGTCTCATGTATGGATGTGTCTGTGCACACAGATGCACATTCATACGGTCTGAATTTATGCACACACTCATGCAGAGGTAGATAATCATGCAGAAATTTGCAATATGCGCGCACATTAATGTGCACAGCATCCAAACTTGCAGATATAATAACAACCAAAAAAATCAAATCAGCATTAAGAACAGCGAGCTGCTGAGGTTACTCAGATTTAAGGTGGATACTTGCATTTAAGCAAGAAAAGGATTGAAAGAAAGAGCAGGACCAGGACCAGGAAGTGAATAACTACTTATTACTGCCAATTGGCAGTAATATAATATACCTGTAATTAACACCTGTAATGAGAAAGGTGTTAACGATGAGTTCTGGGGGTGAACGAGGAAAAGGAAAAAACAGAAGGAGAATGATTTTGGGATTTTATGCGTTCGTATAAAGCCTCGGTTATGTTATAAAAGCAGGCATAAACACAGAGGCGTAATATAAATGCAAAGAAAACCATAAAGGCTTCGCTGGTGTGGGGTTGGTTCGGCTGCTAATGAGAAATGCAGCGATAGCTTTGGAGTGGCACACAGATTAGAGGAGGGTTATCCTGCTAATGTAAATGCTTTACTTAGCATTAACACGACAGAGTTACAAGCTGCAGCGAGTGCAGTCTAATCAATAGTTGTATGTAAAAGGCGACGAGCTCTGGTTGCATCTGCAGCAGATTCACGAGTGCACGGCTTTATTGTGGATGGCTTCTCACCTCCTATACAACACTTATCCTGTTAGGCAGAGGATACAGTGTTGTCATTGCTATTCACAATAATGGAAATCAATCCCAACATGACTTTCAATTTATTTGCATGAATAAGTAATGTGGCCTTAATTCAGCTCGCTGAAGGAGCCGAGCCGCCGCCGCCTTTTTTATGCCACTATTAGCATAAGAGAAGCTCATTCTTTTTAATCAACTAATAATGAATGTTAAGGGAGCCTGTTCAGACCGCACCATGAGACCTCACACACACACACACACACACACACACACACTGATGACCAATTAAAACATTCCCAGTATCATGTATTCTTCCGCTGGCTCTCCGGCTTCTTCTCCGTGCAGATGCTGATTATTTTCGGACTGACAGGTAACACTTCATTATTCACAATCACACATTTAACAGAAAAACACGTTTTCTGCACCGAAATTAAAGCCGTTTGCTTTTATTTCAGTTCCCACAGACTCCAAATCTGATGCCCCCTCTGTAATCGTTTTATTAAATGCAATTACAGGATTCGAGCTTCCTCGGACCTGTTAATGTGCAGAGTAGCCCCGCACGCCAGCGTAAGAGGACGCTAAGACGACGGTTACGTTTGCACGCAGGCTGACGTTTCTCCTGAGTTCTTTCCACTCGAGCGGCGTTCCCGCCCTCCCAGCTTCCCTCAGTGTTTGTGTTTATTTTAAACTCAACAAGTCCATGAAAACTCTTCCTCCCGGCTCTGCACGCTTCCCGTGTCACGTTTTGTTTATGCGCTTGAGGCAAGACTGATCAGTTTGGATCAAACCCCATTTAATTAATACTTTTTGTGTGTTTAAGCCATAAAAACACTCCTGCAATGATTTGTCTGTAACGTCAAGTAATGTTTAAGATTTAATTCTATTGGTTACACCTTAGAATATGAGGCGGGGCTTAGACTGAAGTTTAACATACTGAACCAGGTGATATGTTTTTGTTTTTTTGGCTTCACTGCGAGAGAGGAGGATGACAAAAAGGTGCTTCTGCAGTCTTGTTTTAGGATCAGCCTGTTGCAATAAATAAATGTTCCTTCTCTCATTGATGCTCCTTAACAAAAATCAAAGGGTTCAGATCTCCAACATCGAGAGCGCGTTTGACTTTGTTTTGATCTCAGAAGATTTTCTGAGTGGTGACATTATTTTCTAAGAGGATTCATGACTCAGCAGGAAGCGTTTTTGTTTAACTGGTGATGTTATTCTGAAGCGCAGTCGTCACATTGGTTACACTAAAGCTAAAATCACGCTTTGCAGAGGTCCGCCAACATCTGGGCTTAGAGGAAACAAGTTAAAGTTAAAAACTGACCGTTGAAGTGATAAAGCTTGATACAAAATAACTGCTTAGTGTCAGGTTAATAATCAACGTGGAGCCTAAAGTGCATTCAAGCTAATGTTGATTATTATTGAGCATATTTAGCTGTTTATCTTTAGCTTTATTCACATGATCTGAGGTGTTTTCAGCACAGGTTATGGTGCTGGTGAAATTTCCATCTTTTATATGTGACTAATAAAAAGCCTCTGCTGGTGTGCTAAGCTAAGGTAAAGTAAGGTAACTTTATTTATACCCATAGGCAAAGTAAATTTGCTTTACAGAAAAAATGACAGCATTTGGCATCCCTTTAAAAACACACATACCTAGTAAAGATATAAACCTCACTGTGGCACATATA